ATTTTATAGATCTAGGAAAACAATTGTACAGATATTCTTTATTGGTTATTGTACAGATCTATATTTCTCACATTCTTTTTCAAGCATATAATTGAATACATTAAGAGAGTTATGCTTCGAACAAAATGGAGATGTGCGTTTAACAGAATGGATCTCTACTTGTAACTATACAGGTCTTTAGTTGTAACAGAATATCAGATTTTCACTTCCGATAAAATTGCTGAGTAGCCCTTGTATGTTGCTTGTAAGTAAACATGGCTATGCTTTTAACCGAATGCATCTTTGCTTGTGACTATACAAGTCTTTTCTTGTAACTAAATGAGTCTTTACTTGTAACATGAAGGTTCCTATTTGAAAATATACAACCTCTGCTTGTAACTGAACAAGTATATGCTTGTAATTGTAAAAAAGTCTACTTACAACTATACACGTCTCTGCCTGTAACTAAATGAGTTTTGCATGTAACTGTACTAGTCTCTGCTTATAACTGAATGAGTTTTGCTTATAATTATGAAGGTTCCTGTTTGAAACTATACAATCTTTGCTTGTAACTATACAGGTCTTTGTTGTAACTGAACAAGTATATGCTTGTAGCTATAAAAAAATCTCTGCTTGCAACTATACAGGTTTCTGCCCGTAATTGAACAAGTTTTGCATGTAACTGTATTGGTCTCTGCTTGTAACCGAGCAAGTAGATATGCTTGTAACTATAAAGGTCTCTGCTTGCAACTCTATACATTCCTGCTTGTAACGAAACAACGGTTTACTTATAATCTAATGAGTCTATCTTTATAACTTAATGAAACTCTGCTCGTAACTGAACTAGTCAACCACTTAATTCCATAGATGGAGGTATGCTTGTAACTGAACAGATATATGCTCGTAACTAGATTTTTTCCAATTGGTGAGCTAAATATTTAATTACAAAAAAAATTATCACTGACCGAATTGTAACTGATAAAAGGAGTCACAAATTAGTGACCGTAGTAAAAGAATCATTTTCTTGAAGTAGTGACGCTAATAGTAACTGCCTAAATGGGGTCTCTAATTAGTGACCCTTTTTTGTAACTGCCAAATTCGGGGTCAGTAATTAGTGACCCATTTGTAACCGTCGTAATGGGGTCACTAATCAGTGACCGACTATAAAGGCCACCCCCCAAATTTGTAACACACCAAGAGAGGGTCACTAATTAGTGACTCATTTTGTAACCGCCTCATATTTGGTCATTAATTACTAACCCTTTTGTCACTTATCACGTAGCAGTCGCTAACTTTGTGATCGATTTCTGACCGTAGTGCTGCGGTCACAAATGCGGTCACAAATCAATTATTATTTTTATCCAAATAACTTAGCTTTAGTCAGTCACTACTAGGTCACTAATCGGTCACTAATTAGTGACCTATTGTTGTGATCACTAATTTGCAGTTACTAATAGCATTTTTTCTAGTAGTGGTTTCATGGCAAAAGGCAAAACCACTTTCTTGGGGGCCACAGGCTGGAGAGGATTTGCCAAACACTCTCATATACTTGAAAAGACTAAAAAAGAAGGGTGCCTTAGGAAGCTTGTCTCATCCCACTGAGATTTTCACTACAGCCTTTCCCACAAAGAGATGCATAATCTTAGGTATCGTTCCGATCAAGACATGATTCATTTCCTCCTCTACCTACGCAATTCTCTGTCTTCATTCATGATCATGTTGAGTGAAAGTTAGTAAACATTGGGAAAAGAGGATCCAACTAGAACCCCATGATCAATCAATAGGTCATGAGAACCCCTTTCATGGACTATCCAATAGTACTATTTTAGCGGCCAAGAAGAAACGAACTACGAACTTTGGTATTGACCCTCCCTGGAACATTGTTGTATTTGGAAGCCTCAGCAACCTAAGGACCTTCAGATGAAGGTCTCTAGAATGTGACGGGGTAAAAGGTATAGGGATTAAGTAACATCCACAAAAGATTAACCCCTAAAACCTAAGGGTTCCTTCGCAAGTTTCATCCATAGAGAGTGAGTCAAGGCCTAAGATCAGGCCCAAAGTTGCAATCGATGGACAACAAGTAAATATTCCTATACTAGCCCTTCTACTATACTATACTAGTTGTGGGGCACTTGTGCTTAACTAATTAGAAAGGTTAGGGGACTCTATCCCACAATTGAAAAACAAACGATCATTCTTATTCTTATCTCCTTGTAAACTTATCTCCAAAAAGTAAAAAAGACCAATACCAATAAAAGATACAATAAAATAAATCTATTTCCTAAAAGTCCAATCGTGCCATCAATGGCATCAAAAGACAGGGATTCCATCCAATTTTAGTTTGGGTTCAGGATAGGAAAATGTGGGACCTAATGACAAGGAGTACTTGCGCCCACTTTTGATGCTTACTTGCTTAAATGAAGGAAGGACAGGGCAGGCATACTCTGCCAAATCTGAGTCCAAGCATGAACAGATGAAAAAGGGCTGATTTTTTTTTTTTAATGTTTTTCTCATCGTTATGCAAGAAAGCAGCTGGACGCATTTCCTTCTTACATTCAGCTGCAGAAGAGGTTGGAAATGTTGTGAGTTTAAGACCACTCTTAAGCACTTCTAGTGGTAGGAAGGTCAATAAACACGTGGACAGGTTAACTGAACAATTTATGCCATGCTGCATATCTTACGGCCGTTACTCTAAATTACTAAGTTATAAATCCTGTTGTATGCAATATTTTTTACATCCTTTTGGAGAAAGAACACTACATGAGAAATACATAAATGCCACACATCAGCTGTTAAGTTTTGTTAGTTGTTCATAATACAATGCTTGTTTGAGTAGTCACTGTTTATCAGAACTTTTTGGGACATGAAATCATTTTCCTCTTAAAAGGCGAGGGTAGACATCCTATCTGCTAATGATAAAGTCCTTACAAGCTCAACATTCCAAACATGATGCAGTACAGGAGCCAGCCCATCCGCTTTCTTTGGACTTTCCTCAAGTTTGTTCCTCTTATTGCTGGTTATTCATTGGAATCCCAGACTGTGAAAATAAAATTTAAAGGTTTTACCGAGGGAGACATCCCTTTTTCCTGTTTAAGGGTGACTGTCGAGCAAAGAGCACAGTTTCAGCCAGGAGCAGGAATCCCTGAAATATATGATGCATCTTCAACACTTGAATCAGAACTTCCTCTACCAAAAGGAATTTTGTGGCGACGGAAACAACCAGTGTTCATATGGATTGCTGTAATGATGTTTGCAATGGAGTTTCTTTTTACTCTAATCTGCCGCATGCCTCTTATCATATCCAGGAGAAGGCCCACTGTTGATTCTGCCAATAGGATTTTCGGGCAAACCAATATTGCAGCTAAGAGGTAGCCTTAACAGTGACTTCAATTTCTGCCAAGTTGGTGATGGCAGAAGCAATGGCTTGAACTTGCAGTAGATGTAATTGGGTATTTTTCCGACATGTTTTCTTTTTCGGCACGAAATTCTATATTTAATGTTTTACTCATTTTTTTAATGTTTAAATTTACTGGGAAGGATCTAGAATTGTCCAAACAAACCCACAAAATTTTATTCATTGTTATACAATGTGACCAGGACACGGAGATAGTGATGTTAATTATATGAGCTTCTCGAGCTCAGCTCCCTTCAGCATCTGATGGACTTGTGAACGTTTCCCTCAATCTATAGTTCATTTTGTGCAAACGGGCACTTTCCGTTTACAAGTATCCTACAGTATAAATGCCAAAAGAAAAAGGAAAATGAAAGCAAAAACATAGGCTTATATAACAGATGAACTTGTTCAGATGGAGCTGCCCTTGCCTCTGAAGCTCTTGAGGAAAGAGCCACTCCTGGTGATCTCGCGCAGCGGCTTGTCAGTAAACCTGATGATGTTATAGACCCATGCCCCTGCTATGGCCCCTGAAATTGGTGCCAATATATATATCCATACCCCCTTGTAATGTTTTGACACAATTGCTGGCCCCAAACTCCTTGCTGGGTTCATTGATGCTCCGGTAATAGGCCTGCCACACAAAAGTATAGGAAGAAGAAGAAAGAACCTCACCCGTGTAAGTTAAATTCAGAAGTATTTAAAATCAAGAAGCTTATTTGGAAATAAATGAAACACAAGTTATTAAGGTTCACTTAACGCAGTAATGATACGAGTCATGACATATTAAAATAAATCTACAAAGCACATTTGATATGAATTTAATGAAATTAACTTCATTATTTTCTACAAATGAATTGCTTATAATTCTGATTAAATTTACAGTTATTTCGTTACCAACACGAAATTTAAGGTGAATTATGATACAAATAAAAATTCCCATCCCTAACTTCAGGGCGGCTTTAGTTTCCGAGAACGTTTATTAAGCTTTTAAGGCACAAAGATAAAACCCAGAAGCCGAACTTTCAGCTTTTAGGGCATAAACCTGAAAGCATGAAATCATTAACTTTTGACTTTTACTTTTTCTTCTTTAAATTTAAAATGCTGAGCCATAAAGGCTAAAAATATCCAACTCTTGTTTCTCCATCTACTTTTCAAATTATGACCTCAATGGTCACATTCTCCAGAAATTTGGGTTCACTTGGAAACGTAGTCACGGGAGTATTGCATGTTATAAATTGACACGTGGATTATGCAAGGACAAAATGTCACAAGCATAACAATGTGAACATTTTTCATAAGAAATGCATAAGATGAGAATATTGGCACGTAGATACCCTGCAAACATCGCATTGACTAAAACGGTAGCTCCAATGGCAAGCCCAGCCAGTTCTCCGATCTGTACTTACAAACAAAAACAAAGAGTTTATTAATTAAACAATGGATAAGGAGTCCAAATCATTGAAACAAACCCAGGTTAAGGACAAAAGATTTAAATAAGTCATTTTTGTATGATTTTCTAATCTAACAATTTGGACATCATGGTGTGTAATATTCACCTTTGACATATGATAACATTAATTTTGGGTTTAAACAAAGTTAAGAGTTGGTGTTTAGAAATTTAATTGAATCAGATGGAAGGTTTAGAACAAACAGCTCTGTTGTCAGTAGCAACGCCGGATATGACAAACATGAGGTAGAAGGTGATTATGAATTCTAAAACAAAAGATTGCATGTCGGACCCTGCCGGACTTGTCCCGGCAAAGTAATCTTGATCCCCGTTGAAAATTAGACGGAGGGTTCCGCTCGCCAGGGTTGATCCGAGGACTTGGGCTATTATGTACGCTGGCACCTAAGCATAAAAAACACTGTAAAAACACTTGAGGAAAAAGCTGAAAAACTTGCATTATGTTGCAATTACCATTTCACAGGAACAGGATTAACCGAAAGAGCACAGATTGTCAACACAATTTGGCGCTAGTTTAGCTAAACATTGGAGAGTTTGGTCAGCTTTTTAAAGAACAAGAGGAAGAAGAAGGGGGTGAGTAGGAAGATTTACTTATTTATTTATTTATTTTAACGTAGAAATTACCTGTTTCCAGGGGAACCTCTTGCAGGTAGCAAAAGCAATGGTGACGGCAGGGTTGAAGTGGGCGCCGGAGATGTGGCCGACAGAGTAGACCATGACCATCATCGCCAGCCCCCACGCTATTGCTATTCCGGGGAAAGTTACCATTTTGCCGCTGTCTTTGTTCACCACAACAGCGGCGCAACCCGCGAATACTAAGAAGTATGTCCCCAACACCTCCGCTATCAACTGTACTTTCCCAAATTCAACAACAGGATAGAACAAGTCATACGAAAGTTTCTCAATAGTTGTCAGTTTAGGGAATAAGATTAATTTCGGCATCAAGAATAATTAATCTCTTCATGCCAAAATAACTTGGGTTGTGTCCTATACTTTTTCTTTCTCTCACTTCCTCCGATTTTCTGGAAACAGAGGAATGATTTGTCAAGAGGGAAGAGTAGGGAGGATTACCTTTTGGACGAAAGGAACAGAGACGAAGCAGCTGGAGTCATCTTTGTGGTCATTAGGATCACCTTTTATTATGTTCATCACGACACCATGATTACCGCTGGCTCCTGAAATCTCTGCCATTAGAGTGAGAGGTATGCAGTTCGATCAAGAAGATCTGAAAATATGAACGGCGCACGCCTCTAGAGAGCGAGAGAGGACGATGGTTTCTTTGTAGTAACCACGGAGTGGGCAATAAGCCAATCAGACACCTCTTATTTATAGACGCCCATAAATCCCGAAGCTAAAGAGGGAATGGGCAGGCTGAGAGAGTCGAGTAAAATATAATGAGAGGAGACTTCTCTCGTTACGTTCAAGTTTACCTTTAACAACCGAAAATTGAACGGTTTGTTGATCTTGATAATTAAAACATAATTTGAAATTGACTTATAATATATATATATATATATATACATATATATAGATAGATAGATAGACACGTGGTGTTAATTACAGGCAGTTGTACTTCTTTTTTGAATTCAAAAATTTAATATAGGTCCAATTGACCTCTCATGGGCCAACCCGACTGACCCAACCCCACTCGACCCTTTTTTCTAACATTTCTCACTCGCACGTAGTATGGTCAACTAAAATTTTTGTCATAATAATCTTAAGACATCACAATTTTCATACTAGATAGATAAATAATCTATACGACCTGTAAGTATACTTGAGTGCTCTGTTATGTATTGATTAGTACATAATTAATCATTATAGAAATATATATATATATTATTTTTTGGTTACATAGAAATATATATATTATGTATATATCTTGCTATACCTTAAATTAATTATTGATCACATTAGTTTAAGCACCTCTAATCTCTCGATAAAAGAGCAAGCTTAATCGACTCCCAATACAATAAAATCATAATTATGCCATCCATACTAAATACAATACATAATTGTTGGACTAGTAAATACATGTACAATATCGATAAGAATTGTCTTCCTTTTCAACAAGTAACACTCAGCTTCAATTAACTATTTTCCTAAACATATCCCTTTAAATCGAATAATTTATAATTACAGATAACATGCTAAAGTAACAATACTAATTGAAATATCAAATTACTGTCAAAAGTCCATAAGAGTATAATAAGATTTAGTAATCTCAAGAGTCTCACATAATATAGAAGTAGAGATTGATTCTTCTACTAACATTTTTGTCATTTTAGCACATGTAGTATGAATCACATGTTATAATATTACTCTCCCTTTAAGAGAGCACATGTCAATGTTATTTATAAATTTCAACATTATACAATTTTAAGTCCAAACACACCTTATTGTTTAACCTAAGTTTATACTCATATCCTAACCATATCAAGACCTCATGCTTAACTTCTACAACAGGTTAAGTAAATATATCTCATAAATATTTACTTCGATCATTATAACAAAAATGATCTCATCTTGACTCTCTCCTATTTATCAAAGTGATAATTCTATTTTGAATTAATGAATAGACTTACTATATATTTCTTAAAATCATCTAATCTCTTCATACATTTAGCATTATAGTTGATTGTCCATGCAAGACGACCAATCTTGTAACCTATAACATGCATTTTTATGTAATTATAAACGCAATTAATCAAATGTGTGTGTGATTTATCAAAATTTAAAAAATCATAACATATCTAAATGGAATCTCATTCACAAATAAGAATTTGTATAATCTGTTCACAAGTACATCATATTCTTCATAAGCCCATAGAACTAATATGACTTACATATACTTTACAGGCTAATAATTTAGTGAAAGAATTAGCAAGTATTTAATTAGTGGGGATATATTATAATTTCACTTCCTCTTTGATAATTATATCTCTTATATACTGATAACAAATATCAATATGCTTAGATTTGTTATGATATTTTGGATCCTTTAAACAAATTAATACAACTTGATTATCACAATAAATTAATACTAGACATCCACTATCATCAGCATTACTTAGATATTTCAAGAATCTTTTAGCCAAATAGCTTCTTATATTACTGTTGACAAGTTACAAAACTTAGGTTCCATTATGGAAAGGACTACACAATTTTGTTTGTTGTGCACCAAGTAATGGCTCCACAATTTAGTAGAAATATATGACTAGAAGTAGATTTCCTATCATTTGGATCTCCAGCGAATCGACATCTAAGTACCCTATATTTTTTAATTTTGATCCTTGATAACATAAACAATAATTCACTATGCTCTTAAGATACCTTAATATCCTTTTGTCCACTTTTCAATGACAATTTCCAAAATTAAATTGAAAACGACTCACCAAACTTACGACATAGTAGATGTTTGGTCTATTACACACCATAGTATACATTAAACTACCTACTGCACTGGCATAAGCCTTTTTAGTCATTTTTGCTTTCACTTGAAGAGTCTCAGGACACCTATTACTATTTAAGATCTCTCTCTTAGCAACTGGAGTGTTGAATGGTTTACAATATTTCATTTTAAATTGTTTTAAAATCCTTTCAATATAAGATTTTTGTGATAAGGCTATTAGCCTTTTCAAATGATCTCCTATTATCTTAAACCCGGAATGTAGGATGCTTCTCCCATGTCTTTCATTTCAAATTAAGAAGACAACCATTTTTTTATTTCAATAATAAAGTTTTTATCATTTTCGACCATTAAAATGCCATTCACATATAAGGACTATAACAAACTCTAACTCTTTTAGCGTATACATTGTGGTCCTCCTTAATTACTTTGAAGTCATATGCAACAACTACAATATGAAATTTTATATTCCAATATATTGATACTTGTTTAAGACCATAAATTGACTTCTTTAATTTGCACGCTTTGTGCTATCGGCCTTTAATAGTGAAACTTACAAGCTGTTGCATGTAAATCTCCTTATCATAATCACTATTCAAAAAAGTTATTTTTATATCTATTTGATGTAATTTGTAATAGCCGATTTTTATATTTTATTTAATTAATTTTGGATTAATTTGCAACAATTAAAATGTTTTGGGGCTAATTTGAAATTGGGGGAGTTAATTGATAAAAATAAAATAAGTTGGGGCCGGATTGAAAAAAAAAAAAAGGACACCTTCGGCCGGAAGCCGGCCAAAGGATGTAGAAGCTGTAATTTGCTCCAATAGGAGCTTGCCAACTTCAATTAACTTTTAGACTTGGTATATATGGACATAACGATTTTGAGAGAGAATTTTATTGAGAGAATTAGAGAGAAAAAATAGAGGAAAAACGGCGAAAAAACAGTACGGTGTACTACGGGAGAAGCTTGAAGAAATTCGGTGATTTTGGTTGAAATTAAACCGGTTAATCGGCATAGGGGGCTCACGGAGGGGGTTCTCCAACTTTTGGCTAAAATCGGTGGAGGTAAGTTCGATTTGGTTTGCTATTTTCCTGTTTTTTTTTTCGGTTTTCAGGTTGCAGACGTCGGGTCTGCAACCAGGTTGAGATATCAGGTCGCGGGTGACGGAGAAAGGACCTGGAATGATCCAGGTCCTGTGCGGGGCTAGGCCGTGCCTGTTTGGGCCAGGCTTGGCCCGTCTGGGTAGGGCTGGGCCCGTCTGGGCCCAGGCTTGGTCGTCCGGACTGTGGCCAGTGGGCCAGCCTGCAGGCTAGGCAGGGCTGGGTCAACCTGCGAGTTGACTCAACCAGCAAAAGTTTGTCTGGGTTGACTCGGCGAGTCAACCCAGTAAATTGCGGGATATGCTATCCTGGGTATAGGCCAAATCAGGAATAAGGATGGGCTGGGGATAGGGGGAATTAGATAACCGAGAATTTAATAAATTAATAATTGAATTAGGGTTTTTTTTTTAGCAGTGAACCGACTGGTTTGACCGAAGTTTGACCGACCGGTTCAGTGGTCAAATGGACTTGAATTTGAGAAGTTGGACCGGTTCTAGATTCAAGAAGAAAATACCTATCAAACCAAGTGGGTTTGGAGAATTTTGGGTGACCGGTTCGAGGTGAACCGGCCAGTTTAGTATAATTCCTTCGGGTGATCGGTTCACCGATTTTTGGGTCAGTTCTTGGAAAATTGGACCGGTTCCTGGTTCAACCTGATAAAACCTAGTGGACTATGAACTTTGGTGACATTTGGATATCGGGTTCGAGGTGAATCGGCCTCGGTTTACGTGTCAAAGTTCTGGATTAGGGTTTTTCGCCAAGTTAATATAGTTCCTAAGGTTTTTGGGCCTTCTGAATCCAATTTTGAGGGTTTCGTGATTGATCGAGTTGAGTTCAAGATAGCTTTGGGATTGGGTTAGGCCGATTTAGGAGTTTCAGAGACTAGTTCACTATGGGTTGGGGTTGTGGAGGCTGGTCCTTTACTGTTAAGGGTTGTTGAGTCGAAGGGTGAGTATTAGTAGTCGTGCGGGATCTGGTGATGTGTAATCCTGCCTCGAGATGCGTGTCAAGTGCGGGGATGGGATTTAAGTCCCGTCTTGGGCTGTCGAGCCCATTTGGTATTGACGATGAGGTTGGTAACGATTTTGTATGGTTTTGACTTCAAGTCCACCGTGGAGGAGCATCGGGACTGTAGATTTGGTTGAGGGTGACCGGAGACTCTTGTTAAACGCGGTTTGTACGGTGAGTGATGATACCCTCTCTATACATATATTTTCATACTTGTTTTTCTAGCATGATGTTTGCATAGATTTGCGAGACTGTGTTTAATATATGAATCTTGGAATGCGTGTTATGTGTTTTTGAACTGTTAGTATGCTATGTTAGCATGTACCACTGATTTTGGGAGGTGTGGATTTTGTGTGTGTATGTGTGCTTGGTTTGACTTGTGTATGAGCATGGTATTGTGTGATGTGATATAGGGATGCCAGGAACTCAGCTAGAGTATGGATCCGTAGGGTCTAGTAGTGAGCGGCCTGGGTCGGGCAAGTTACTAGTGATGCCAGGAACTCGCTGGAGTACGGCGATCCATAGAGTCCAGTGGTGAGTGGCCTGGGTCGGGTGAGTTACCAGCGATGCCAGGAACTCGGCTGGAGTACGGTCCGTAACGTCCAGTGGTGAGTGGCCTGGGTCGGGTGGGGTAACTGCGATGCCAGAAACTCGGCTGGAGTACGATAAT